ACGCTTCTTTCCAAGGTGCCTAGCAAGGGAAGACATTCGCCACAAAGTTGACAGGGGGCATGTGGCTGACAAAAATGATCGCTTTGATCTTCCATGAAGCATTAGGCCTATGAAAACTACTTTTCCATTTTCGAACGCAGTTTCCTCACAAATGAAACTCTTTGTTGGCACTGAATGACCGTTTTGTGGTTTTGGTACTGGAACGACGTTGAATGCAGATCATTATGGAATTAAAAAAGAGGTCATTCATTGTTGTCATACTTCTGTTTCTCAGTGTTTGTCAATGGGCGTTAGCGATCTGTTGGAAGTCTACGCAATTTGACGGTGATGTGAGCTTTTGCAAAATGTTTCTTTTATTCTGGCATGAATACTTTGTAGTTTAACATACGCAGGTTATATAACCGAATCGGGGTATTTGATAAATATAGGTATAAGGTTGCAGTAACTCCATTTGGTGATGGCACAAAATATACTAATGAAAATTCAACAGTGAAATAACTGCAAAATTAAACTGCCAATCTTTACTGAGTTGCACGTCCCTTCGGATGTATTTCACTGCCTGGTCGCACGACTGTGTCAAAAGGGTCAGAATCTCAGGTACGAGGTATATACGGGAGGTCTCACCCTCCCATGGAGTCCGGGAACAGCTCAGTGTGGAATTGGTCACAATTCAGGACACGACGGGGGTCATGGCTGAAGTATCGATGCTTCGGCCCATGGACCACGGTGAAGAAATCTGGCCGGACTTGTAGAAACTCCTCAAACAGTATGACATTCATGGCTGGCCCACTGGGAGTCAAATTCAGACAAAGGAGCAAAGGCATCTTGGCTGATTTGATGCTCAAATTAAGAACGTGATTTCAAAACATTAAGGTCCCATACATCAAGTTGAGCATGTTAGGATAATATTTCAGTAGGCCTAAAAAATTTACAATTCCACACATTAATGTTGCTTGTTTTTACCCGGCCATGGAAATTCGAAAAGCCTGGGGGGCACCATAAACACTACGGAGGGGGCGATGTTCAAGAGACGCATCTAAAATATACATTCATGCTGAATCCTGCGTCAGAACAGGTATTTATGGCTTTTTACAAATCGTTTTCCCTTTTTTGAGTAATATTGAAAACATTTTAGTCGTTGGGAAGTGCAAACATTTTTTCACAGTCCGCTTTCAATTTATCCTCACCAAAAAAGTGTGGGGAGCTGATTCAATAACCCGACCCCCCAAAGGTGGGGTGATATACACCCCCCATCCCCTGGGATTTACGCCCGTGCATAGGAAAGCCTGAAACCTTCATAAACTGATCAAAGACATTACAGAACACTTGGAACTTTGGTCCTAAAGCAGTGTGCATTGACAGACTTTGTGCACGAAAACGAAGTGAAACTGATGTTCAACTGAAAATGATGGAACTCATGAACATGAAAAAACATAGCCTGAAAGAGGGCCTACCCAAGCTTTTACGTCTGTGACTGTTGAAGGCAATCAAGAAAATAAAATATCCACAATGTGAATGACGAAAACGATGGGCTACACAATGCCAGAATTAACTTACAAGAGACTTCAGCGTCCATTGAGCAATACTCATACGTCGAGAACACGAGAACAAGACTCAAGAATGAGCAAGAGCTGTATAGAGATGTACTCGTGAGAAGCGAAATCTTTCACTGTGGCAGCATTGAGTATTTCCAGGTAGAGAGTACTTCCTTGTTGTTATTTTGGTAAACAAATTGAGGTGACGTCATTGGCCCTATTGCGTTTCGTTAAAAAACAAAACAAAACAAAACAAAACGAAACAAGTCGTTTTTCGTTTATCAAAGTGAAAAAGCAAGTAATGAAAAACACAGAAATACGTCGAAAATCAATTTGTGCTTCGTTTTATAATGTGACAGCGAATAACATCGTAATCTATCGATGCAATTTGAGGAATAAAAAAGGGGGTTTAGTTTTATTTTGTTTTTAATGTAAGACACATCTTTATGCAAAATTGTAGCCCGCTAATCTAGATCGACGGCTGAAACAGAAGGTTATGGTAAATTCATTGCTTCGAAAGTAAAAGGCTGAGGAGCAACCCACAAATTTCTTACAGTGTAACAAGCAACGTCTATTTTAGGAACCAGCGACACTATATCCACAGACATATTGGGCGTGTATAAATATTGCTTCATTTTGCCGATTTCCCAACACAAATAGCAGTACTGTAATAGTTCCGATTTCTTTCTGCCAACTGATCTCAATTTTTGCACTATTTTATTGACTGACTGTCAAAAGATAACAGAAACATACCAAGTTGCACTTCCTACACATGACGTCATACTTCATTTGAAGGAGCTGGCGGCTACCTCTAGTACATTATTTTCGCATGGTTGCTCCTGGTGTTAACACCAGTAGATGCGTGCGGATTACGCTCGGGTGCAGGAGGGTACACCTTCTCTGGATGCAGTCTACTAATTCAAGTGAGAATTTCTGGCCAGCTTATTACTAGTAGCATTAAAAGTGCCGCCGAGTTTTGAAAAAAGGGCGACTGTTTGGCCCCCCATCACCCTACTCCCCAATGGTGCGATTGTTTAATTCTTTGCCACGGTCAACTCCCTGGGTCGTTGAGCTTTCATATGGAAGCAGAATGGCTAAAAAATATGATTGAAACCCGAAACAGTTGAGGCTTGCAATTTGAAAAATGACTGCAATCAGACTTCGAAAAAAAAAACACTTTTCGGGGGCTGATTTTGTTCTGTGGGAATAATTAAAAATGTAATTGGTTAACCTACAGAAAACTGAAACGAAACTGAAAGACTACCACTGAAACTGAAATGACCTCACGGATGTATGCACGTTATCGGGCCCTGAACAGTGCTGATTTTACACCTGTTTTCAACGGGGCTTGAATTAGTGAACTGTACCCCTTCAGCGAGAGTAGGCCTACACTCTCGCTGACGCGCTGGTCATACTTCAGCCCGTTCCAGCGCTGATGTTGACATTGAAGTAGCTCGCTCGAACGCACCCACAGATAAGCCATGTAAAAACAAATGATTTCGTGATCATCCCCGCCCGACCCTCCAAAATGCCTCCGACCGATTTTTTCCCCATTTTTTTTATTTTTCCCCTAAATGGGGGTGGGGGAATGGGTAATGTAACAAAATGTCGAAAGATTAAACAAGAAACAATCCCAAGCTTACCGTTCGGTCTGAGAATTCGTGCAAGACTATTTCAAATCCATCCCTGGAAATAGTTCATTCTTGATCGGAGGCTGTTCCATCTATTGGACACGCGACCTTAAGGGCAAAGTTCCATTCAATTTAAGGAAAAGGTGGTAAACGGAACAGCACCGCTGACTAATCAGTCACAGCCACATCCGAATCATGGGCTGTGGCTGCGACTGCACGTTTGTTTCTTTATTTGTTTGTTGGGGTGTTGGGTTATTTGTTTGTTTTTGCCCTCAAGAAATGTCCTCGTGTGTTTAAATGACGGCGAGTTTACGTAGGATACATGATGATCTATTGCCTTGTTATAAAAGGAATATTAGGAAAAAACCAGTAAAAAACAAAGAAATGGGACCGAAACTTTTTTGATAATAGCAGAATCTTGTATTTAACCCTAATAGTCCCAAATCCTCCGATTTCAATATGATTTTTATATACACCCTCGAGTAACAAGGTTGGACTGTATGTTTGTGCAAATAAACAAACACCCAACACCCCAACAATAAAAACACAAAACAACACAAACCAGACCTAACACCCCCTCTATCCTCCATTTATGAGCAAAAAGGATGATCACCATGCATTTTTTACATGGCCTAAAGTAAGGAACCACTAAGGTGTCGTGTAAGGCGTTTCGGTTTGAAATGAAATTCAGAAGAAATTGTTATCGTTTTTCTTTGACTGTTTTCAACGATCAAATCAAGAAATAATTTATTTCCTTTTTTCCACGTTTTAATTTCGTTTTCTGGAATGGAAACTGAGAAATTACTCTTTTTCGAAGATTAGGTTTTCATTTTCAAACTGAAAAACAAAAACGGTTTGTTTTTCATTTGCCATTTTTCGTTTCAAATTGAAAAACGAATGAACACAACATATACGGGCAGATGCATGCGGAATCTTGTATGAGAGTTCTTATGCTTTCTAATACCTCAGAGGACGAAGGGCCAGGAGAATCTTCTGAGCTCACTCACAGACACCACAATAAAAAAGATCATTTTAGCTTTGAATCCCAAATTTAAAACCCTTCCATTCCAACCACGCATTATGAATGATATGAATGTCAATTTGAACACATCGGCTAGGCCGGAAGCATCAATTTGCCTAATAGCGTGGCGCACTTCAACGTTTCAACTGCCTTTCCCCATGCAGTGTCGCCATACTTCAAATTCATTCATTGCCTTCATAATGCATGCTGTCGAACCACTGTGAACAATTTCAATGTCATGAAATTTAGTCTGAAGTTAAAAACGATGGCGTCAAGAAATTAGGCACAAATTCAGTTGATCACCTGAAGAGTGCTCCTCAATTTGGCTTACTTGAACATTTGACCGAAATCTCCCATTAATATATTAGCTCTTCAAAGTTAATAAATTCCACTAAACACATTATTCAATCTCAACAAGTCCGTTAGCAAATTATTTTCCTATTTTGGGGTGCATTTACAACGAGAGCTCGTTCATGTTCCTTTGCACTTAACTTTGAAAAAAAAAACGCTATCGGGAGGGTAAAAATGATGGGATTTTTTTCATTTAACTTTTTACGGCCAGTCTGAGGGGTGAGGCAACATTTACTAGGGCAATTTGTAGAGCTTTCCCAAAAAAATGAAATAGACAAAACAAATCGCCTTCCTGTCAATTAAAAAGGCTCCTCACTGATGTCATGTTTTGCCTAAAATGTACATGTACATCCATTACTTAACGGGGGGAGGTGTAGTTCCAGAACTTGCATCTAGGCATGAACAGAAAAAAATCCCTTTTCAGTTTGTTATAGTTGAGCTCTGAAGACAAATGACACTGCGTTCGATTTGGATGCTTCCATATTTATTTGAACAGATAACATCAGAGAAAACGTGTTTTCCTTAGAAGTGCTCTTTACTGTACATGATTTGAGAGAGTTAATTAAGTAATGCCTATGCATATCCCAAATTTCTAAGGAAAAATATATCTCCCTTATATAAACGTTTTAATAAAATATCCAGTTTGTTGGAATTAACTGCACAGGACTAGGGTGAGAGAGCTTGTATTTCCACCCACAGTTTTGAGTTTTCTTTGACCTCCAATTATGATATGGGTATTAAACAATGCAGTGGGCTATCAAGAGGTTGACATGAAGTGGCTGTCTTTCGCAGTGCATCTTGGGAAATGGTTTGGAAATTTAATTTGCCCACAACAGGTGAGGAACTTGAACTGTTCCCACTGTTTGCTTGGACTTTTGAGTATTAATACTGATTGTAAAGATGTTTTTTTTGTGAGGTGGCACGGTGCTACTCCTGTGGTTTGAAACTCATAAAGCTCATGAATATCCACATATTGACACTGTTTTTGTCACTTGAACTTCGAAATTGGCCTCTCCAAGGCAACCTCTGTTTGCAGCACACAGTGCTGTGTTTTGCTTGAAAATTGCTGATGGGCAGAAATGCAAAAAGCCCTCTATACAACATGCTTCTCAAAGATTACCCCATTTTAGAACTGGTATGCACAATTCCTTCCCTTCCCCCTTAAGAGAAGAAAGGAGAGGGGAGGAAGTATTTCATACTGAGAATTAGACAAATATGGTGATCTCTGACTCTAAAAACCTGGACACATAACAGACTTTTGGTTGGAAACTCAAATTAACTATCAAAGCATACAGAAATATACATGTATTTACAAGGCTACCTGGAGGCTTTGTATTTGACTTATGTACAGGTAGGTCATGCATGAGTTCTGTTCCTTATAAATCATCATGAATATAATTTATGTAGCATGAGAAGAATGTTTATCGTTTGAATCAGGATTTGAGAGAATTGGCCAACAAACATAACCAAATGAATTTTGCCTGCAAAGCAGTTTCCAACATTTTGGAAGAGATAATATGTAAAGCCACTGGATTAATGACAAAATGCCGCCAAATGTCAGAAGTGAATACCAAAATGACCAATGTTTTACTGGCTGGACTTAAAAAAAATCTCCTCTTCCCTTCAAAAAAAAAAAAAGATAAAATACAAAACTACACTGCCCCTAAGCAAACAAAAACACATCCTCCCCCATGGAAAGGTACCTAGAGTAATTATTATCTGCTTGATGTGCTACTTTGATAACATGCTGGTATTAAAATAAAAAAATGTAAGTAAAAAAATACATGCTGCAAGCGGCTGCTGTTTTTAAATGGCTAAGTGACAATTTATTTTACGTTGTTTCACAATCCAACTTGTGTATATTTTGAAAAGATCCCTACAAGTACAGACAGAATGTTGCCTCCTGTAGGCGGGAAAACCTCGTTCTGATGGTGTGGTACTCAATCCTGAGTTGGACAAGTCCAATCGGAACAGGTCACTGGGTAGGGCTGAAGCAGACATCTAGACATCTGGTGGTGCTGGGTTGCCGTAGACGATTGGTGTTGGCAACTCATAGGGTCCTTGCTGCCCACGCTGGACTTGTTGGCTGGTGGCATAGGAGGGAGGATGGCTAGGCGGCGGGGGTTGAGTAACTGTCCCTGTCAAAGATTGACATACATCAAAAAGAAAGGTCACCTGGGATTTGTTTCTGAGGCGGGATAAACAATGTCAGGGACGTCTTCAAGAGGTTGCCTAAAAATGTGTTCCGGAAGGGGAAAAGGGGTCATCTCTTTGATTTGTTTAGAAATGACTCTGGGATCTCTTGCCGAGTCACATATGATCGGATCCAATCCAAAGATGGACAGCAGCTGTGTAGGATTTGTTCTGTTGGAAAAAATTATCTATCAAGGGC